CCCCCCCCCCCCTCCCCCCCCCCCCCCCCTCCCCCCTCCCCCCCCCCGCCCCCCCCCCCGTCCGTCTCTCCCCCACCCCTGGAGTTCCAGAATTTTGACCCAGTGACGCTGAAGGAACAGCCAATATATTTCCAAGTCAAGAAGTTGAAGGGCTCTGAGGGTAACTTGTAGTGGGTGGTGTTTCCCTGTAGCTGTTGCCTTTGTCCTTCTAGGTGATAGAGGCGTGAGTTTGAAATGACCGAAATATTTCCAAGTTGGGCAGCTTGGAGTGGATCTTGCAGGGGATGCTGTTCCCATGAATTCTGTAGTCATGGCCGAGTGGTTCAGATGATGGACTTGTAACTCGATTGGTGCTCTCATGCAGGTTCGTATGCTGCTGACTGCCATTGGAAGCTGAGGGCAAATGCAAATGGAGTTTCTTGTCATCTTAGGGGCGGCATGGTGGCTCAGTGGTTAGCACGGCTGCCTCACAGCACCAGGATCCCAGGTTCCACCCTCGCGTGACTGTCTGTATGGTGTTTGCAAGTTCTCCCCGTGTCTGCATGGATTTCCTCCGGGTGCTCCGGTTTCCTCCCACAGCCCAAAAATGTGCTGGCTAGGTGGGTTGGGAATGCTAAATTGCCCGTAATGTTCAGGGATGTGTAGATTAGGTGGGTTACAGGGGGATAGGTCTGGGTGGGACGTTCTGAGGGTCAGCGTGGACTTGTTGGACCGAAGGGCCTGCTTCCACACTGGGGATTGTATGATCTCTGAATCTGCTGCCCTTGCTTTTTCTCCTTGGCTGTAAGTTTGCAAGATGCAGTGTAAGGATTTTTGGACAATTGGTAATGTAGAAAATGTAAGCGCCTGCAAACAACAATGTGGCTTTTTTGTAACGTTACCAACGGCAAAACATCAGACAGCACCCACTCACTCTGCTTGAAATAATGTTGTGGGATCTTTTGAACTGAGAGATACAAATGCAAAGCAATACTTAGAGTATTGCGTTTCGTTCTGGTTGCCACATTACAGGAAGGATGTGGAGGCTTTGGAGAGTGCAGAAGAGGTTTACCATGACGCTGCCTGGATTAGAGGGCATAGCTATAAGGAACGGCTGGACAAACTCGTGTTGTTTACCCTAGAGCGGAGGCTGAGAGGAGACCTGATAGAAGACTATAAAATTATGAGATGTATAGATAGAGTTGACAGTTAGTATTAGACATTTCAATGCTGAGAAAAAGATTCTGAGGGGGCATGCATTTAAGATAAGCGGAGGAAGGTTCAAAGGAGATGCGAGGGGCAAGTTATTTATACAGCGTGCTAGGAGTCTGGAACATTCTGCCAGGGATGGTGGTGGAGGCAGATACGATGGGGTGTTGTAGGGACTTTTAGATAAGCACATGAATAAGCAAGGAATGGAGGGATATGGACCAAGGGCCGGTAGAAGGAATTAGTTTAATTTGGTGTCATGTTCGACACAACATCGTGGGCCGAAGGGCACGTTCCTTTGCTATTCTGTGTTCTAAAACAGTTTAAGAATTGTAGTCATTCTTTTGAATTCACCAGCCCAGAGGGTTGTGGAGGCTCAGGTTTTGAGAATATTTAAAACACAGATTGACAGGTTTTTACATTTAAAGCTATCAAGGAATTATTAGGACAGTGCAGGAAAATGGCTCTGAGGTACAAGGTCAGCTGTGATCTAGTTGAGGGGCTAAATGACCAAATGACCTACTTCCTATGTGTTTGCAGTAAGCCACCAAGGGCGTTTGGGCCGAACAGCCATGTTCTGTGCTGTTCCAATTCCGAGATCCGTTCGCCTTTGGTAGTGCAACGCTCCCTTCGTTTTGCAATAGGATTGTCAGCCTAGAATATTGAGTTTCTTTATTCAACCTGCCCTCCCTCCCTCCCTCCCTCCCTCCCTCCCTCCTTCCTTCCATTGAGGGTGTGTGATTATTTTTATATAAGTTTCAAGATGTTTCTTTTCCTCTGAACTATTATAAATTTACAGGCCAACATATGACTCTGACATCTGAATGGAGATATTAAAACAAAAGACAAGATTGCTGGAAATACTGTGTATTGGACAGCTTTCTATGGGCAGAGAAGTAGCAGTGGTATTTCAGTGTTATTATTGCTAAAATAAATACGGTTAGAAAATGGAGTGGAGGGTTCCTGCACCCTTAGTACAAAGGATGTGGTGAAGGTCCTAAAGTGACTGTGACCTTTTAGTTATTTGCTATTGTCAGCTCACTGGTGTCCGACTGGCCACTGGGACAGAACATTGTGGGTTCAAGTCATCCTCTGGATGTTTGATGCATAATCTTGGCTTTGCTTTTGAGCAATTACTGAGGGAATGATGCGCTGTCTAAAAGGTGCCTTTCGTTTCCTCACGATTGCTGGAGAGGCCAGCATTTGTTGCCCATCCTGAATTCGTTTTACAAAAGAAGAGATGGGTCACCTCCTTGAATACGATTGAGTGGCTTACGTGGCCATTTCTGAGGTCACTAAAGAGTTGGCTGTGGATCTGGAGTCATATGTAGGCCAGACAGAATTAGGACAGCAGAGAGAGTTACTCATACAGTACGGAAACAGATCCATCGGTCCATCTTGTCCACACCAACCAGACATCCCAATTTGACCTAGTCTCATTTGCCAGCATTTAGCCCATATCCGGCTAAACCCTTCCTATTCATGTACCCGTCCAGATGCCTTTTAAATGTAATTGTATCAGCCTCCACCACTTCCTATGGCAGCTTATTCCATACACACACCACCCTCTGTGTGAAAAATTTACCACTCAGGTCATTTTTAAATCTTTCCCCTCTCACCTAAAACCTATACCCTCTCATTTTGGACTCCCCCCACCCTGGGGAAAAGACCTTGGCTATTTACCTTATCTTTTCTCCCTCATGATTTTATAAACCTCTAAGATCACCCCTCAGCCTCCTGCGCTCCAGGGAAAAAGGTCCCAGCCTATTCAGCCTTTCCCTGTAAGTCAAACCCACCAGCCCAGTAACATCCTTGTCAATTATTTTGTGCCCTTTCCAGTTTAATACCATCCTTCCTGTAGCAGGGCGACCAGAAGTATATGCAGTATTCCAAATGTGAGCTCCCCAATGAGGGAGCAGGCAAATTTAATTATGCTGCACCTGATGAAATGAAATCCACTAAAGGGCAGGTGAAGTTGTCATTTCCTATCAATGCAGCCCATTCAGGGCAGCTCCAGTGTTCCTGAAGGAGCTCTCCAATTAATCCCCCCCACTCCCTATTCAACAGCTTGGAAGTTTTGCATGTTTTATCTATTTTCCATTTGAACAGGGTTCTTCTAGCACAGTGATAGTTCCCTTTCCTCTCAGCGAGGGGGCCAAGGTTGAAGTCCAACCTGCTCCGGAGGTGCTATAACACATCAGTAAATGGGTTGGTTAGAAAATATTTTAAAACTTCCATTTCAAATCCACAGCCTAAAAATAATTAAAAGGAGATGAAAGTGTAGTGGTATGATCACTGTTAATCCAGAGACTCGGGTGGTGTTCTGGGGACCTGCGTTCAAATCCTGCCGCAGCAGATGGTGGAATCTGAATTCAGTGTGAAAAAACAAAATCTGGAATTAAGAGTCTAATGATGACCCTTGAGTCTATCGTCAATTTTCGGAAAACCCGTCTGGTTCACTAATGTCCTATAGGGAAGGAAACTGCCATCCTTGCTTTGTCTGGTCTACATGTGACTCCAGACCTACAACAATATGGTTGACACTTAACTGTCCTGTGTGCAATTAGGGATGGACAATAAATGGATAACACTCACATCCTGTGAATGAATGGGAAAAAAAAATTTCCCAACTGTACTCCCTCCCCTCCACACCGGCTGGCATTTATTACCCATCTATAGTTGCCCCTTGAGAAGGTGGTGAAGAGTTGCTTTCTGAAACCACTGCAGTCCATTTGCTGTAGGTATTCTGACTATGCTTTTAGGAAGGGACTTCCACAATTATGACCCAGCCTAAAACCTGAAAATGGAAGGGTTGTTTCAAGAGAAAAGCTTGACAGTCTCGTAACTGCTGGAGGTTAGGAGAGTATGATTGAAATATACAAGAACTTGAATGATCTTGAAAGAGGAGACATGGAGAGGATGGTTCATCTTATGGGGGACTCCAGAACTAGGGGAGTTTAAAAATCAGGGAAGACCCATTTATAAAAGGCGAGGCAAAATTCTGTGCCTGAGGGTCATGAGTTTTTGGATCTCTCTTCCCGAAAAGGTGGTTGATATTTTTACAGCAGAAGTGCAGAGGGGTTCTTGGAATGCAAGGTTATTGGAGGGTAGAGCGAAAAGCAGATTTGAGGCGAGAATCAGATCAGGGCAGCACAGTGGCTCAGCGCTTAGTACTGATGCCTCACAGTGCCAGGAACCCGGGTTTGGTTCCAGCCTCAGGTGATTGTGTGGAGTTTGCATATTATGCTCATATCTGTGTGAGCTTCCTCTGGGTGCTCATGTTTCTTCCCATTGTCCAAAGATGTGCAGGTTAGATGGGTTAGCTACAGGAAATCAGAGCTACAGGGATAGGTAGCAGGGTGCGTCTGGGTGTGATGCTGTTCGGAGAGTCAATGTGGACTCAATGGGCTGCATGGCCTGCTTCCACACTGAAGGGATTCTGTGATTCTACTGGACCCTGTGTTCACACACTATTTTTCTCATTCCACAGACGCTGTCAGACCCTGCTGAGTTTCTCCAGTGTTCTTTGTGTTTGTTTGAGCCTTAGACCTGTGTAGGTTTGTGGTTGACTTCTGCACCAATGCACTAAAAGTGTACATCAAAGTCAGCCAGGCAGGGATAATTAGCACAGACTTTGACTTGACTTTGTAGCTTCATAGTAAATGGAGAACTCAGCCACACAGTGCTTTAAAGTTTGCGTCCCATGTCGTTAAGAAGGTATTTAGCACGCTTGCCTTTATTGCTCAGACCTTTGAGTATAGGAGTTGGGACGTCATGTCGAGGTTGTTTAAGTCAGAGATGAGGTCTCTTCTGGAATACTGTGTCCAGTCTGGTCTCCCAAATATAGGAAGAATATTATTAAGCTAGAGAGGGTTCAGAAGAGATTTACCAGGATATCACTGGGTATGGAAGGTTTGAGTTATAAAGAAAGGTTGGGACTTTTTTCACTGGAGCGTAGGAGGTTGAGAGGTAACCTTTTATTGAAGTTTATAAAATCATGAAGGGTATAGATGGGATTAATGGTGGGTGTCTTTTCCCTTGGATGGGAGATTTCAGACTAGGGGACATATTTTTAAGGTGAGTGGAGAGAGAGATTTAAAAAAGATATGAGGGGGAAAATTTTTTTACACAGTGGTTTGTGTGCGGAATTAACATCCAGACGAAATGGTGGATGTG